CCTCCTCCCCATCTCCGCTCCCTCCTTCTCCTCCTCCTCCTCCTCCTCCTCCTAATCCTCCCCACTCCAGGCCGCCCCTGGCGCGCTCCACGCGCCAGGGGAGGGGGTCCAGCGCAGATCCAGGAAATCCGCGCGGAGCGTCAAAAGTTGATGTACATGTTTTTTCTCCACTTCTAATCCTGTTCCCTCCCGGCCGCCCCTGGTGCCCTCCGCGCGCCAGGGAAGGGGGTCCAGCGCAGTCTAGGAGCTCCGCGCGGAGCGCCAATCGATGCTCACGCCGCTGTTTCTTCTTCTAGAATCGTTTCTCCGCGCGCGCATCCTCCCCCTCCCGCCTCCCTCCCGCCTCCCTCCTGCCGGCACCCCAATAAACTGTTGGCGCTCCGCGCGGCTTTCTTGGATCCGCGCTGGGCCCCCGCGGCGCCTCCAGCGCCGATCCAGGAGATCCACGCGGAGCGCCCCAATTTGATGTTCATGCCGTTTTCTCTTCGTCTATAAGTGCTTCGGCGCGCGCGCAGCCTCCCCCCTCCCGCCTCCTCCCGCCTCCCTCCTGCCTGCACCCCATCCTCTTTCTCCTCCTCCTTTTCCTCCTCATGTTCCCCCTCCTCCTCCTCCTCCTCCTCCTCCTCCTCCACAATTATTCAATATGAGTACTACTCTCCTCCTTCCCCTGATGACGGTGGGAGTGTCGCCCCCCCCCCCCCCGCGTATTGTTTTTTACACAGGATTCCCCGGAGTTGGGTTTTCGCCTGCTTTTTTTTCAAAATGCTGCTCTCGCTGAGGCGCCGGCCTCATTTTCGGGCCCCGCTCGTTCCGAATCGTGCTCCCGCTGCAGCGCTGGCCTCATTTCCGTGCTTCCGCTCGTTCCGAATCGTGCTCCCGCTGCAGCGTTGGCCTCATTTCCGCGCTTCCGCTCGTTCCGAATCGTGCTCCCGCTGCAGCGCTGGCGTCATTTCCCGTGCCATGCCACGGCATGCAATGCAATGCTAGGTTGCGTTCCGCTGCGCGATGCCATGCCTTCAGCTGAAGCTGTGATATGCAGTGCTTAAGTGCCACGTCGTGCTATGCCATGCTACGCTTTGATCTTCAACGCCATGCTATGCAATGTTATGTTCGGGGCCGCTGTGCGATGCCATGCTTTGCGTTGCAAAGCTTTGTGATGCAATTCTTCACTACGCCACGCCACGCCATGCTGTGACATGCTGCGCTTTGCGATGCTCTTCTACGCCATGCCATGCCGTGCTCTACAATGCATCGCGTACCCTTTCGGGATCATTGCCCTGCTCGACATCCGACTGTGCGAGTAGAGAATGGATCTACGCCATGGTAAGGGATGGGAGGGAGGGGTAGGATGTCAGATATGACGCGAGCGCACCTAGCTTGTCCCTCCCCCTCCCCTCCTCCTCCTCCTCCTCCTCCTCCTCCTCCTCCTCTTCCTCCCCCGCCCATCCGCCCGCCTCCCTCCCGCCTCCCTCCTGCCTGCAACCCATCCTCCCCGCAGGTCGACTCCGTTGAACCCGCTTTGCGCCGCTCCCTCCCCTTGTGCCGCGCCGTCCCCTCGGCCTCTGGGGCCGCGCTGCTTGCTCGTCACGGCGCGCCCTCCGGCCATCTCGGCGCCTCGGCGGCGCGCAGAAGGGGGATGCGGGGGCCCCTCTATAGAGGATCTCGGGGGCTGCCTCCACGATGGCCTTGGATCGGCGTCACCCCAGCATACCAGTACTACGTATGCGTCGCCCCCACAGGGGCGACGCGCGCACCCAGAAATCTTATAGTACATGTGTCGTGGCGGGATCTTTCATGTCACACCGCTCGGGAATATGCTACAAGATGGGCATACTGTATGTTCGGGTCGGACTCGCGCCTCCAAGGAGGACATACCTCTTACAGTTGTTTACTCTAAGGCGGCAGCTTTTCTGGGTTCTAACCTGTTAGGGTCTTCAACGCTAACCGCACCTCCCGATCTCTGGGCTGGCACTTGGACTTGTCCTTCCCCTTCTTTTTCTTCCCTCCTCGTCCTTCGAGGAACAAGCAATGACATAGACATACAAACTCGGAGGACCGCGCAGAGTTGTCAGATCGGCCCGGCACCCCCCTCCCTGGTGCAGAGCGCGCCATGGGCGCCGCCAGGGGGCTCCAGCGCCGATCCGAGGAGTTCGCGCGGAGCTCCGAGTTTGACGGTTATATCATTGTTTGTTCATCTAATGTTATTTCGGGCATGCCCCTTTACAGGAGGAGTATTCAAACATAGTGAACAAAATCGTATGAGGACGTTGTTCAGTTTTGGTTTGCAATTCCTTTGAGTTTTTGACTAATTCAATTTCTTCTTTCAAAATCCGCATGCAGGAGGACATGCCCGACCTAAGTCGAGTCCTTCCCCTCGTCCTCCCACGCAATGGGCGTCTCCCGATGCACTGCTCAGCCTGTGCATGTGGGGTGCGAGGCCTCTGCAGCAGCATCTGGCTTCCTCTGAGGTGAGGCCCCCCTGCCCTCTTAGGATCCGCCGCCTCCCTCGCCCCCCCGGTGCGCACCGCTGAGGCTTGGAAGACGACGACGAAGACGACGACGTCGACGACCACGACGACCACTACGACTACGACGACAACGACGACGGCGACGACCACCACGACGACGACGACGACGACGACGACGACGACGACGACCACGACCACGAACACGATCAAGACGACAACGACGACAACGACGACGACGACGAGGACCCCACTGCGACGACCACCCCGACGATGCGGACCCCTTGTCGGTGGAGTCGATCTACGGCGTGGACTGGTCGAGGCCGTCGGGCGGCCGGGTGTCCTCCGCGCCCCGCTCGGCCCCTTCTGCCCATCGCCTGCTCCTCCACGCCGCTGCCCTTCCCCCTGCTCATCCCCCCTCTTTCCCTGGCACCCAGGCACCGGGGCACCCCCGGGCACCCCGGCACCTGGGCACCCGGGCACCCGGGCCGGCCACCGAAATTGGCGACGAACCTCACCTAACCATATGAATCCGCTAGGACCCCCACAGAGGCAAGCTCTGATTGGGGAATCTATATATATATATATATAGAGAGAGGTATATAAATGTGTGTGTGCGTATAATATATATATATATATATATATATATATATATATATGTGTGTGTGGATTCGGGCCCCGCGGGGGCCAAAACACATCATACTACATCCATATCCGCCGCCCGCTGGGGTGCCAGGGTATCGGTTCCCGAGCGGTGGACACGGACGAGCCCCCGCCTCGTACTCCAGACGTTCGCACTGCTCTGGCGTCTCCTGGCCGCCGCTCCAGACGATGGGTCTACTGGTGCACGGGGGCGACAGAGAACCACGCGACGTGGCCGTTCTGTCCTCGGCGTCTCTCTTGCTAGCTCCCTTCCCCATACAGTCAACCCGCACACCAAGGACGAGCAACTTTCGAAGGCTACCCTTGCATCCTTTGCCCCTTCGGCTCATCCCTGGCGACTTTCGCTAGCCAGGCTTGTTCCGAAGGACGTTGTCATGGTCCTCCGAGGCCCTTGCGTCCTTACCGCGCATCCTTGTGATACTGGTGGACTGCAGTCTCTCGACTGCCGGTCCCAGTCGAGATTCCGGAAGGCGCGCACGCTTTCAACAGGTCGAGTCGCCCTTCGCTTAGCAGCTCATGTGCCTCGGAAGCTGCCAGCTGCTGGTACTTGTGGATGCCGCCTATGAGGGTGTAGAGCTGCGTGTGGCTGAGCGCTCTGAGACACTTGAGGTCTACCTGGTCAGTCTCATCGCTGCTCGCAATGCCCTCTTCCGAAGATCCCTCTCGTCCCTGTCCTATAAGAGCATCGTGAGGTTGTCTCTCTTGTCCAGGCTGAACCTCTCCTCGAGCAGGTCCCGGATCTGATCCCCATCCACAGTCATGCCCTCCGCCTCGGCCCTGAATCCTCGGGAGGTGCTTCGAAAGTGTTTCCCTTCCCCCGGGCTCCAGGACGCAAGCCCCATCCTCGCCTCCGTCCTTCTCTCCGCATCGATGGTCTCCGACTCGATCTCCACCTTCTTCGGCGGTGGCGCGTCGTCTTCGTCGTCGTCGTCGTCACCATCACTGTCGTCGTCGTCGTCGTCGTCGGTGTCCTGGGCTCGAAGTCGAGGAGGAGGAGGAGGAGGAGGAGGAGGAGGAGGAGGAGGAGCAGGAGGGAGGAGGGAGGTTGGAGGAGGGAGGAAGAGGAGGGAGGAGGGGGAGGAGGAGGAGGAGGAGGAGGAGGAGGAGGAGGAGGAGGAGGATGATAAAGCAGGAGGAGCAGGAGGTACCGAACTTGACATCCGATCTGGGATCCGTCGGCAGAGGTGGTCCTTGCCGCCCACACAGCTGCGGCCCGCTCTGCATCTTCCAGGCCCTCCGCAGCACTCGAACTGCTCTTCTCGTCGACCTCCTTATTGGTGTACCACGGCGGCTTGATGAGAGGAGGTTACCCGAGCGGCAGTCGTCCTTGGTACTCGTGGCTTCAGCCGCCTGTGCAGCTGCAGCCCGCTGTCGTAGTCCCTGGAAGAACTCCGCAGCAGCCGCACCTCGTTGCCGTGAACTCCTTGATTGGTGTGTCCGAGTCCTGACGCTGCCGCGATGAGCCACACGAGCCTCGTCCATCCCATGGTGACGTCCGAATCGGTAGTTAGCTGGAAGACTTTGCTCGTGGCCGGCTGGAACTGACGAGAAGCACCCTCTTGAGCCCAAGTAGCAATTGTTTGCACGGGAAGCGCCAAAAGTTTATGTTTATGGCGTTTCCTTCTTCGTCAAGAGCGAGTACAGTGCGGGCACAGTCCAAGAGACACCCTGCTCGCCTCCAGAGTGCCCCGGGATTCTTGGGCTTCGATGGTTTTGCCGTGGACAGCGTGACGCTCCCACACCAGAACTATCAATGGACGTCCTGGGGTCTCAGGGTTGGGTTTCCTGTGGAAGGTGTCTTTCTGTCGGGCCCCTACCGTAGTTCTCTCGGGCCGAACGAACGGGGGGGGGATAGGGAAAGGGGGGGGGTCGAAATCTGCTGCATGCAGCTGGTTTCGGCCCCGCCTCGATACACGGGCGCCTCCCAGCGCCGGGAGGCGCTGGGAAAGTCAGCTACGTGAGCTGATGTTCTACCCTACCCTGTGCTGTCCCCCCTTTCGGCCCCCCCGATTCTCAGAGTCCACTCGTTCTGTTCGTGGTCGCCTGCTCCCCCTTCTGGGGCCTCGCGGGGTCCACGGGCGGCGCCAAAGAGAGCGGCCGCACCCCTCTTCCTCGGCGGCGCGAGGGGCCTCCTCGGAAGGCGGCGGGGCCTCTCAGAGGCCCCCCCGGCCTCCTGAGAAGTCTTCTGTGTTGTTGTCAGGGCTCATGTCGCCGCCGCCGATTCGATTCGATTTCGATTCCGATTCGATTCGATTTCGATTCCGATTCGGGATCCGATTTCTGACTGGAGGCCCACTAGCTTGCCGATGTCTGCCGATTCGACTTTTCCGACTCGTCTGCCGATATTCGTCGATCCGATTCATGTCGATCGCCGATCCGATTTGTCGATTCGATTCTGGGCTCTCCTGCGTCGTGGAAGGCTTAGAAAATCTCAGAAGGCTAGAGGCCTTCCGAGCCTTCTGAGAAGGCCCGCCCCTTCCCAGTTCCCCTCCAGGCTCGCCGCCGAGTCCACCTCCACCCTGGGGGCCGACCGACCTTCAATTTTCGAGGTTCGGAGATGCTTGGGTGTTTGTTCGCCTTCTCTGCGCCTCCGGTTGTCAGGAGGGGAAACAAAGACACAGACGCCAACAAACCTCGAGTCCCAAGAGAAGATGGTAACATAGGGGAAGTAGAGGGGAGGAGGAACGTCAAGGAAGTGTGGCATGTAGGACGTGGAGGATCCTGGGGCCTGTGCTTCGTTGCGCTCCTGTGCCCCTGGGCCCCCGCCGGTTGGCTCCTCGTTTCCCTCGCGGGGCTCGCCGCCCCTCCGGGGGTCGACCCGGGCGGTGTCTCGAGGCGGCCTCGTGGGCCGTTCACTCGGCCCGACTCTGCGTGCTGCAGCGAGCGGCCCGACTGTGAGGGGCACCTGCTCTGCAAGAGGGGCTCCGGTCGTTCCCGAAGCTTCCATGCGCTGCGTGTCCTCTGACTCCTCCTGCGCTGTCTGTTGGGCGTCGCTCCCTGCGCGCTACTCCCTGGAGAAGTTGTCCTGGCTTCGAGCCAAACTTTCTGGGCCTCCCAGACAGGGCCGGAGCAGATGGAATCGGAGGATATCGCCGCATCCGCGATCCTGCGACCCCACCTACTCCGACCCCACATAGGATGCCTCTAAACATTGCGGTCATACTGGGGCACGGCCAGAAGTTGTTGGGCGCCAGTTTCGGTCACGCTCGGTCCGAGCTTCTGGCACGGCCTCGGCCACGACGCCCTCCCTGATAGAGACGAGGCTCCATCCGTTCACGGTGCGAGAGGAAGGGGAGGAGCAGAAAGGGAGGAGGAGGGCGAGTTGGAGGAGGATGAGGAGGAGGAGGAGGAGGCCCCCCTTTCTCCCTCTTGCACCTCGGGCCCCGCCCAGGCTGGGGGCCGAGCGAAGTGCTGCCCACGGTCCTCCTGCTCTGGCCGTGTCCTGACGGGCGCCACGCTCCTTCTGATCAGCGCCCTGCGCTCTTCTGCTGTGTGGGGCAGGGTGCGGGAGGGGAACCCAGACATGATCGCGTCGTTACAACATCAGGACGGGGGGGGTTTGACCATGCCCGGCCCCGAGGGCCCTCGCCGGGCCTCGGGACCGTAAAACAACAACTCGGGGCAAAACACTTGTCCCGGTGAAAGGGTCGGGAACTCCAGGGACGCCGTCCTGAAAAAATCAAGACGTCGCATGTCTGGGGAGGAGGAGGACGCGGCACGTGCAGGGGGAGAAAGAGGGAGGGCGAGGGTGGGGGGAAGGAGGATGAGGGGGGAGGAGGCGGACGAACAGTGGGGGAATGTGGATGAGATGGAGGAAAAAGAGGAGGAAGAGAGGAGGAGGAGGAGGAGGAGGAGGAGGAGGAGGAGGATGAAGAGGGCGAAGGAGGAGCAACAGGATGGAGAATAGGCGGAGGAGCATGATGACGACGATGGTGGCGATGACGAGGAGGAGGAGGAGGAGAAGGAGGAGGAGGAAGAAGGGGAAGAGCTGAAGAGCGGGAACGGGGACAGCGTCGAAAGATGACAAAGGGGCGAGAGGATGATGAGGGAGGGGATGAGCAGGCGGAGGAGAGGAATAACATGGAACCATAAAGAGGACGAGGATGAGGAGGAGGAGGAGGAGGAGGGATTTGATCTGGAAGAGCGGGAAGAAACGGGGGATTATCATGGTGGTGGTGGTGGTGGTGGGAGTGGTGATGGTTGTCGTGGTGGTGATGTCAGGATCAGGAGGAGGAGGATGAGGAGGAGGAGGAGGCGGAGGAGGAGGAGGAGGAGGAGTGTGGAAAAGGTGAAGGGTGAGGGAGGAGGAGGAGGCGGAGGATGAGGATGAGGAGGAGGAGGAGGAGGAGGAGGAGGAGTCTGAGTGCGGGGGAAGGGGGGGAGGATGATGATGAGGAGGAGATTGAGGACGCGGAGGAAAAGGAGGACAGGACGGATGAGGCGGAGGAGGAACTGCTGGACGAGGAGGAGGAGGCATCCAAGGCTTCACGACGTTTTGAGTTTCTGCGTTAATTACTTTTGAGTGCCAGGATGGTTTATCCCACGCTGCTCTTTTTCCGTAGTCAATCCCAGCTTCGCGCTTCTTCCACAGGCGGGCCGCCGGTTTCACTCCAGGCCGCCCAGATGGGGCCAGAGCGGATTGGGCCCGCGGCACCGCGACGCGTCGCCGCTGCATCGGTGATGTGGCGCGATCGAGAGTCCGATTCTCTCCTCCCCAGCGTCGCTGGTGCAGGGCCGAGGCGTGCAGGAGGGGAGCGCAGCTGCACACCCATCCAGACCCCCACCATCTCATCCCCCCAGTTGGGAATATATACCCTTCGGGATCTGGCAGAAGCTGCCCATATTATATCCCCATCTGTGGGGGGAAACCGGCAAGTGGGGGCCAGGCCGCGCGAGTGGGGGTAGGGATCGGTTAAACGATACTCAGTACCGATGGGTTCTCGGCGGCGGTTGTCCGTGTTCGAAGGGGCACAACTGAACAGACACAGATCCCAGGATTCCCCATAGTTTTCCAGGTTCTGTTTGCTGGCTGTTCGCCTTCCCCTCCACGTTCCTAATTGTTTCTGCATGCTCCGGGGAATCGACGATTATGTGTGTCTGTGTTGGGGGCCCCCTCACGGTGTGGTGACCACACCGTGTGAGTCAGCGGGGCTTCGGGGTTATCGTGCGATTGGGGCCTCCGAGTTCCCAAAGTCGCACGGTGACGGACCGTGCGGTGAGGTCTATTGGAGCTGCCGGGATAACCGCACGGTTTGTTACCACACTGTTCTGGGACCCCGAATTGATGATGATGGTGCTGATGCTGATGCTGCTGATGATGATTATGAGTATGCTGATGATGATGAGGGTGATGATGATGCTGATGATGATGGGGCGATAATGAAGATGATTATGAGTGAGTATGCTGATGATGATGGTGGTGATGATGCTGATGTTGATGATGATGTGAGTATGATAATGTTGCTGATGATGATGATGGTGGTGTCGAGGATGCTGATGATGATGATGATGAGGATTCTGATGAGGATGATGATGAGGATGATGCTGCTGATGATGATGATGATGATGATGATGGTGATGATGATGATGATGATGATGATGATACTGATGATGATGATGATGAGGATGATGAGGATGATGAGGATGATGAGGATGATGAGGATGATGAGGATGAGGATGAGGATGATGGATGATGATGATGATGATGATGATGATGATGATGATGATGATGATGATGATGATGATGATGATGATGATGATGATGATGATGATGATGATGATGATGATGATGATGATGATGATGATGATGATGATGATGATGATGATGATGATGATGATGCTGATGATGATGATGATGATGATGATGATGATGATGATGATGATGATGATGATGATGATGATGATGAGGCTGATGAGCATGAGGCTGATGATGATGATGTGGTTTCTCCGCTCCTGAGCGTTGCCCCTGGGAGCTCTGGCCCCGTCTTGGCAGCCTCCGTCGCGCGCCAGCCCGGTGTCAGCCCGGTGCAGCGGCAGCGCGGCGGGGGCGGGCGCCGCAGGCGCGTGCGCTCTCGCGCAGCGCGGGCTCCAGCACCGCCCGCGGCACCTACCCTTTGCGCTCTCCCCGTCCTCCTCCTCCTCCTCCTCCTCCTCCCCGTTCTGCTCCCTTTCTCCCAGACGTGATCGCGTCGTTAATCAAGACTGCAGGTTTGGGGCCATTTTCGGCCTCGGGGGGCCCTCGCCGGGACTCGGGGCCGTCAAAGAACGACTCGGGACGAAAAGCCCGGCCTGGGGAAATGGTCGGGGTTTCAAGGGACGCCGTCCTGAAACAATCAGCACGTCGCATGTCTGGGCTCCCTTCTCCAGTCTCCCTTCGCTCCCATCCCCTCCTCAGGGGAGACGGCCTGCGCGGTCCACGGCGACCCCGCAGAGGAGGCGCCGAAGTCCGCGAGCGAGAGGAGAGGCTGGCCCACGAGCCGCTCGTGGAGCGCGGCTCGCAGGCCTCGGAAGAGCAGCTCGCCCGCCCCCTCAGTGGCCGCCTGTGCGAGGGCCCGCGCCAGGCGCCCGCCGAATGGGGGCCGCGAGGGGGGCTCGGGCCAAGCAGCTGCAACGGCCGCGCAGCGCGAAAGAGAGGGGAGAACGAGAGAGAGCATGATGACGGTGATGATTGTGATGGTGATGATGGTGTTGGTGATGTTGATGGTGATGATGAGACTGATGATGATGATGCTGATGATGATGATGATGATGCTGATGATGACGATGATGATGATGATGATGATGATGATGATACTGATGATGATGGTGATGATAATATTGGTGATTGGTGATGATGATGATGGTGGTGATGATGGCGATGGTGATGGTTAGTG